TAATGGAAATGGTGCATAGCTTTTGAAATACTATATGCCATTAAATTAGTTGGGAACACCTTTAGACCACAAATACATAGAGAAATCAAGAAAAATTTGAGCAGCAGTTAACTAACCTTGATGAGTAAGCCAACAACAGACATTTAAAGTGTTTGGGTTTTTTTTCTGCTCATCAGTTCAATTTATAGGCATAACAAGTTTCCATAAATAATGGCACACGCCTTTTAGTCAGGGCAAGTTAAGTTCCTTTTTCTAAGTTTTCATTTCACAGACCTGGCAACCACAGTTTAATGTGCTTTAGGAAAACATACATTTAGGAAAATGTAATATGGATAAATTGCATTTCACCCTATAACTGAGTCTCCAATGCAGATTTTAGTCTGCAAGTGATAAACTTACTAGAATTGTTGCCAAAGATACAGATTTCTGCCTGGCTTTCATTTGCCATAAACCCTTTCTTTTACTTTGACACTAAATAGAGATTTTGCATGTAAAATGTCATTTTAAGATACTGTCMGAATGATGTGAAAAGGTGCTCTGGTAGATAAGCATCAGGTGCTGCACGAGGGGACCGCACGCAGCCATGTGCCACCCTGCCACTCCTTGTTTGAACAGCAGTGTGCTGCCACTCCATGTAGCAAATGGATTCCTCCTGATTTCAAACCTCCCTTCCCCACGCYTCGGTTTGTGCAAGAGCCTCATGTGGCTGGGATGGGGGATGCCAGGTGAGTGCTGTGGRTGCCTTGTTTGAGGTGAATTTGCCATTTCTTGAAGTCATCCCCTCCATCAGCCCCTGAACAGATCAGTGCCACTGCTGATGAGCTGTGCAGGGTCACCCTTGCTGTGGCTTGGGAATTTAGACCTGCCTTTGGTGTTAAACWTTGGCAGGTGCTCATAAAGAGAATCATGCTAATGGGGTATATTTTGGATAGATTATTTCAGGTGCTTAAGCAAGGCAGTGAGGGGGCTGTGGGCCAGAGAAAGGCTTTCCTCAAGCCTGCCTTGCTGCCAAGGAAATAGTTGGCAGATCCACAGTCTCAGTTCATGGTCTGTGTGCTCAGGGTTTATCTAGAATCAAAGTGGGCAGGTGACTTTCATGACTTGTTCCAAAACATATTAAGGTGAAGTAAATAAAATTTCTGTATTTTTTTTTATTATTATTTTCTGGAAAACCTAAGGGCAAGATGTTTCTGTGATAAGCCTCATGCATTTGGAAGCACTGGAAGAATGTGTCAACAGTTTGAAATGTGGGGTCTGACACAGTGGCTGGTATGCCCAGACAGATGTTTCRGTGATGAAGAAACTCACATTTTATGCCCACAGTTTTGAATATTCAAAGCTCTTTCCTGAASAACTCCTTAGTTGATTGAAGTTGTACCATGGCTCTGAAGTTGTGTCTGCAGCTGAATTCCCCAACTGAATGTGTGGCTTGTGTGTGGGAAGCACTGCAGTGCTGTGGATGATATCACAGCTAGAAACTCAGAGAATATCATGTTTATTACTTACTAAACTGGCTGTTCCACCACTCCTTTAGGCTTTGAAGGATGTTGATGGCAGACACTGAACAAATACTGAAGCCTTTCACATGGCGAGATGGGAAGTGAAGGGTTCTGGTGGCCTGCAGGGCAATACAGCAACAATTTTGGTTTGATACAGTGATCTCTCTTCTGTTGCAGGTCATCTTTCATTCATGCATGGTGTTGCCAGCCTGAGATATGCTATCTATTATTTTCTCTTCTGTTTGAGTGCTGCTGTATGTGACACACCATGTTCAATAGAAATTGCCTGCTGATATAAGATTCACTCTGTTTGCAATGTAATTTTCCTCCTTACTACATTTTTTCCCCATTGTTTTATTTAATGCAAGCATGTGTGAGTGTGAACCTGTATGAGACYGCTTTGCCATGCTGTAGCTGCACGGTGTTACTGCACTTTCATCTCATCTCCCTGGACAGATCCATGTGATGTTTGAYCTCTGCAGGGCATGGTACTCTGCTCTTAATCTGTAGGGGTCTGTCCAGGCCGGGGTTTGGAGGCACAGTGCTATCACTGCACTCAGCAGAGCCTGTCACAGGCTGGAGCAGTATATATGCCAACAGCAGCGCTCAGGTGAACGTGGCATTGCAATAAAGTGACCTGAGCCAGGAGGGTGAGTTCTGAACCCAGACTGCCGCTGTTGCCTCGATCACACACATGCCCGGTTTATTCTTGTGTGCAGACCAGGAGGCTGCTTAAGGTAGGCACAGAGTGTCACCCAGTAATGATTTTAAGCTAAATACAAGGAAGAAGCTTTTCACAATGAGGGTAGCGAGGCACAAAAACAGCTTGCACAGAGAGACTGTGGATGCTCCATCCYTGGAAATGTTCAAGGCTAGRYTGGATGAGACTTTSACCAACATGGTGTRGTAGAAGGTRCCCTTAYTTATGGCAGGAAGGTTGGAATTAAATGATATTTAAGGTYCCTGCCAACCCAAACMGTTCTGTGATTCTCCAAGAAGGGAACTGAGCTTTGTGAGATTATTTCTGTTCACACACAGGCTGGTCATCATGACAGAAATCTTGCATGTCCCACAGAGATATCCAAGCCAAGCCCACAGGTACCTGGTGMAGCAAGCACTGTGGTGCAAAAGCAGTTGCTGTTCTGGGGTGGGCACCCATGATGCAGGACATGGAAAACCCACTGCTGGAGATTCTATTCACAGCATCTAGAGGCACACATTCAGGTCATYATCAGTACCCACACACGGATCCGATTTAGCACATTATTTTAGATGACCSATGGAACACATGACCTCATCCTCCACTCACCAGCTGCATTCACAGTTTACCTCCAGAGCTGGATGGAGACCCTCCTGTGGTCTGGCTCCAGATCAGTGGTGTTTCCTCCCTGAGGTGCTGGCTGCCTACTGAGTTCTGTGCAGTGTTTGTGACCCTCAGCTGAGAGTTGGGAGGAAGGAGCTGCAAGGGGTTATCCATAAATGCAGCCATAACGATAAGATCAGCCTCTGGAACAGAAAGAGCCACAGAGAGACTCAGTTCTCTGCAGGGAGTAATGGGGATTTGTTACAATTACTAATGTAAGTGCAATAAAACGATGGGGTAAATGAGGTGGCAGTTTCTGTTTTCTATTCCCTGCTGTCTCCTTTTTCTTAAACACTTCATGACAAGGYTGACAAAGCCACTTCTCCACCTCCTCACAAGGGAGCATGTTGTCATTTTAAAAGTACAAGYCTTTGGGAGCAAGAAAACAGTTTTGATTTAACTGCCTTTTTTTTGAAGCCRCTGTGTGTGCAGGATGAAGTGGTCAAACTTTGGGCAAGATCAGTGCTTAGGATCTGATGCTACAGCATTAAGCCTAAGGAAGAAAAGCCCATCCTTTCTGTTTCTGCGAGGTCTGGGTGTTGTCCATGTGACAGCATTTCCCCAGAGARGAAGGGGCTGCTCGTGTCCCTGTAACAGGGCTGATCTCAGCAGGGATATCTGTGCTGTGGTGGGCTGGGATGGCTCATCACACACTTCCCACTGGCTCCAGTGAGGTGTGTTCCCAGAGCATGACAAACAGTGTGTGAGAGCCCAGGACATGCTGCTGGAACACCCACTGGAGCATCCAGGGGAGAGGATGCAAGAGGGGAAGGACCAGGGGCCATGCATCAGAGGGYAGGGGCTAAACTCGTGAGCAATGCTTCTCACTAAGTRCTGCTTGTACCCAGGCTGTGGCACYGATGCTGTCATTGCAAARGGACCTCTCACGTCCTGCATTCTCATCTCTGAATCCCCTCGGACCCATCAGCCATGTCTTGGTGACACCTGTCAGGCAGCCAAACATTTCACTAAAGCAGCTCTGCTGTCAGCTTCTCCTGCTGACTCTAAACCACTACTGAAATACTTGGGCTGGAAATGGTTGGATTGTGCTGTCTGTCTTAAATAAGAATATTAAAATAATCCATTTGTAATAAGGCAGTTGTTTCTTCACACTTTTGGGGATGCCTTTTTTTAATCTAGGAAGAATCCAGCCACAATGACAATCCCTTCTCCAGGTGCTTTCTGGACAGCAGGGTGCTCTTTATAAATGTTGAGGGGTAACAGTTTCTGTGGCTGGTGGGCACTGCCTGTTCACAGCTGTCCAAGGACCTTCTTGGATAAGAATCACGAAACCTGAGGCTGTGAGCACAGAGTTGGATGCTGCTTGACAGCCTGCAAACACTAGTTATGCTGGGTTCTATTACCATGACCTTGTTTATAAAAACTGATGGTGTGTTTGTGTTCTCTACAAGCTAATGGGGCACCTCACAGCACTACAGAAGTGACCTTAAATGGGTTTTTAATACACTTATGATGGCTTGCAATGTGTTGAAACATTGTGGAGCTCTATCAAGTACCTGTTGTTTGACCTTGAGGAAATGGCATTTTTAAGTGTCTGCTTTCCAAAACAATGAATCCTGCGTGAATGTTTTTAATTTCTTGGCTTTGCAAAGTTTGCAAATCTTACTGAAAATTAGGCAGTYTGATTAGTAAATTATTTCATGAAATAACACAATGCATTAAAGAAACTGTCAGGAGACTTATATTCCTGGCTACCCTGTCAAATAGATACGATAACAYCAAGATGATTGTGTTCCAATAGGAATGGCATGACTGCTGATGATTTTCCTGCTGGATTATGTAAAAATTCAGGTCCTTTTTTTGGGGAAAAGACTTGTGTGTGGTTTTCAACTGAGATTTGCCTGGTGTTTTATTTCATGAGATTTAAGAAAGTGTTTTGCTGAAGGACACCAAAATCACCTCCTGCACTGACACACCCTTKCCATTCCCACTTGTTTACTGCTTAAGTCCTAGTCAAATGTGCAGAGGTGTTTACTCTCTGCAGCATGAACTCAGTGACTGAAAAGTGCARGAATTCGGTTTTGACTGGGTTATAATGTGCTACCAGGAAACCACCATTATAAAGTTCTTCTTAAACTAATAAGTATTTTTGTATTTCTTTGTTTTGTGATTTACAGACTCAGCTGTTGGGAGTTTTACTTGCTGCTGCTTCAAATTTTCTCATTAGTGTCTCTTTGAATATACAGGTATGATATTGTTTCTSTTTATTCTGAGTGGTTTATATTTAGCAAGTACTTACATTCCAGTTTGGTGAAGTTCAAAATGCAAATTTTGTTGCAATTAATAAACATTCTGTCTTCCATTGACTGTAATTCAGCAGTGCCGTGCTGCAGTTGCKGGGAGTTGGGAGCTGTTGGCTGCTCCAACCTGTTCTGTGCTGATTCTCATAGAAGAACAGAAGAAATGTTCATAACTCCTCCTCCTTTTAATGTGCCAGAAGGAAATGCCAGCTGTGACTCACTTATGGTCCCACTGGACTGGGAGAAAGGAAGGATACTATGAGAGACAGTATCAAAAGCATTGCTGAAGTCCCTAAAGATGACATTAACTGGCTTTCCTAGATMACCTAGGTGGGTTATCCTGTTATAGAAGGAAATCAGGTTTGACAAGCAAAACTTTCTCCTCATGAAGCTGTGCTGGCTGTGACTGTGTTGACCTCCAGGTGTTTCTCAATACCTCCCRGAATAATCTTTCCCATGATTTTACAGGCACTGAAGTGAGACTGACAGGTCTGTATTGTCCAGGGTTCTCCTTCTTGCCCTTCTTGAAAACTGGGACAGCATTCATCAGCCTCCAGTCAGCTGGGACCTCTCTGGATTCSCGCRAGTGCTCAAAAATCAAGAGAGATTTTGTGATGACATCAGCTAGTTCTTTGAGGAGTCTTGGATTAATCCCATCAGGCCCTWTAGATTTGTAGGGAAGCTGAAGCAACAGATTCCACTCAAGTTTAGGGTCAGCTGGGATTTGATCATTCTTGCAGCCATGGTCCTGCTCAGGGCACTGGGACTCCCTTGGTYCATCATCTGTGTTGAAGACAGAGAGAAAGAAYGCACTGAACAYCTCTGCCTTGTCCATGTCCCTGTTTGTGAGGTGCCCATCCTTATCCTGTAGCAGGCTGGTGTTATTTCTATGCAGCCTTTTGCCATTAGTGTATTTGAAAAACCTCTTTTTATTGTCCCACAGTTTTAGCCATCTTCACTTSAGCTTTGGCCACACGAATTTTCTCCCTACAGAGCCAAGCYGCATCTCTGTGTTCTTCCCAGGTCACCTGACCTTGCTTCCACTRGGCATACACCTTCCCTTTCTGTCTTACTTCCAAGAGRAKATCCCTGTTCAGCCAAGCCTTCTGCCTCATCTACTTGACTTCTGACATGGGGGATTTGCTGCTCCTGTGCCCTTAGGAGGTGATGTTTAAAAAGTGACCAGCACAGACAGACCCCAGCGCAACAAAAACATTTCCCAGGGGACTTTTCTCACTAGTTCACTGAGCAGCCTGAATTTTTCTCTCCTCATGTCCAGAGATGAATTTTTTCTGCACTTTTCCTCCTGTCAAGAAAGATTTTAAATTCAATCACTTTGTGGTCTCTGTGGCCAAGATGGTGCCAGTCACCATGTCACTCACTAGATCCACTCTGTTGACAAGCAGCAGATCAAGGAGGGAATCCTTCTGAGTCAGCTCCCTTAATCCTGTTCCATAAATGCATAAAGACATAAAGGTTTTTACAATATTGGACCCCAAAGCAACTTTGACCCATTTAGTTTTTCTTCTGCAATCAAGATAAAATATATGAGTTTACATTATTTAAGTCATGAAAGTAATGGGAGGTGCTGTCCTTACAACTATGGTAAAGGGTTGTAGGATGTMATTTATAAAATCCTTTCTGTTTTAATAATTAGAATACATACTCAGTAGAAAGTTAYTTTTTTCTTTATAATCTGTATCTTGTAGACTTCTTCGTATTTTTAGGTCTCCTAACAAAAGTTTTTAAAGCACAGAATACATCATTGTGTAAGTTGGCCATAAGAAGTATTTTTGCYAGCTAGTATTTTAGAAGTTGTACAGGTCTCATATAGAGCTACTTCTTTCTTTTTCTGTAAAGGATGAAATAAAAAGTTGTGGCATATAAAATCTTCTATGCATAGTAATCCACTTCATTAATGCTAGAAGATTCTTCAACAATTCTCTCTTATTTTAAACATCATTCACTGGAAAATCCCATAAAAAGAAACCTGTTGAGCCAGAGGTGATAGGGAAGTTGAGATGACTGCTGCCTCTCCAGTATGAGTTCAAACCTGCTGGTGGTGACAGGGCTAGGACAAGCTCTAGGAAAACCTCTGAAGCTGAGTGGAAAGATGAGGTGAGATGGAGAAAAGTGGAAATTCAGTCTAGGCATAATAATGGGGTTGTTTAGACTGCATATCTTTAGTCTGCTGAGGGCACTGAGTGCCAAAGTAGATGCTTTGCAAGGGGATGTACTGAGGCATGCAGGAAGACTTCTTTTGGCTTGTAATCACAACAGCCCTTACTGAGTTTGAACTATCAGCTTTTTAAATGCTAATTAGGGAAACCCAATAGATCTCAGTGCCATTTGACAGAATGTTTAAAGTGAATTTTTTTTATCCTTTAAATTAGGTTTTTCTCAATTTAGTAACAGTATCTTCTAAATATGAATAATGACTTTCCCTAGATCTCAACATTTATTTTCACACTCATAATAATTGGACAGACCAATTCCAATGTTCTCTGTCCCTTTCGGACCATACAGTCTATTATCCTGCTCCTCTTCCCTCTAGCAGGCTGTCAACTAAAGAACAGCTCATCATTTACAGTGTATTTCACTGAGTTATAAACAGCCTCCACTAAAATACCATTTGCAGACATTACTGTGCAAGGAAGACAGACATCTGGAGACAGAAGGCTGTAGGGGAGTTACTGAGCTCACCTTCCTGTGTTTGCTGCACATCTTTTCAATCTCAATGTGCCCTCAAGAGTTAATTCTAAAAGAATCTGGGTCTAAAACGCATCTCAGGATTCACTTAAGAACTTGTCCTATTTAATTTTGGGCAGAAACTTGGATTCTTGAATAACAGTTTGAATATTGTTTGCTATTAATTTAATTTGTGTCTTTATTGAGCTTTTTTTTTGTTTGTTTCTTTGTTTATAAAAATGGAAAATCTGTATGTTACTGTGGAGACCATCCAGGTCTGTGTCTCAAGTTTGATTTCCTTTTGCTCTTTTTCTCTTTGAAGGGCTAAACTTCTTYCTAGAACTTCATCCCTTGAACATGTTCCACAGCTCAATGCTGCAATAATGTGCTACATCTTATCAACAAGAGCACCAAGRCTATGGGGTGTAACAGACATTGCTGTTTGGCCCATACTCTGTCATGTAGGCTACAGAGAAGCATGGGAGAATGGAGAAAATTCTTTACAACCTCCCCAGGCTCTGCAGGGAGGCTTCTAAAATCAAATATCAAGTCACGGAGAAAAAGAATTCTTTTACCACCATTTACACTGTAAATATTATTTTACACTGTAATAACTGTATCATTTGGTTTGCACCTTTTTGACCCATGTGCAGAGAAGCTGGAGAGTAATTTGAGAAAGGAAATGATAATCTGCAGAATTAATGTGGTAAACATTGCAACATTCTYAGTTATGACACTTTCTTGATGGAGRCTGCYTGGCCTCTATTTCAGAAGATCAGTGTAAYCAAAGATAAATTATCTTGCTATGTACAGGTTCTTGCTGTACAGCCAGAGAGAAAACAATTACAACTTGTGTCAATGATACCTTCTTCATGCAACAGGAAGTGTTGATGAAGTATTACTTGAGTATATGTTATACCTGTGCCAACTGGTTTTTCTTTAGAAAATAATGCTTTCCTTGTGATCKCCTTCTAAGGTCAAACAGGAGATTGTAGCCAAATCCTAAATTCTATTTAATTAATTTAGGGTCCTTCCTACAGAAGATGTGATTAAGTGCTGTCTTTTTCATGTTGAAATTGTATTTCTGGCGAGGATAGGTYTCACGGACGGGAACGCCCTGTTGTCTGTTTCCCCTCTCCCACTTTGTTGCCACAGTTCTGATTCTGCCCCATCTCCTGCCTTTGAACATTTCCAGATTCAGATCACAACTGCTGAGCTTTRCTTTGAGACAAGAACAGACGTGTGCAGTGATAGCTGGGAAGCACCAGCTAGTCTGGTATTCACTTASCATTTCTCAGGTTTATTCAGAGGCCGAATTTTTCAGCCTTTCCCACCCTGGCTAAGAAAGCACATCTGAAGCAGCACTGAGTTAACACAAAGCTCTGCAATAAGCCCAAATCCATGTTTCAAAAGAAAACCYCAACACACTGGTACTTGAAGCTCACAGCCCCCTTAATTATTCCACTTTTATCAGACATAAGAACACAATGAAAGTCTTTCTATTCATATCTGTTCCTACTAATTAATTTTCTAGAAATGYGCTCATCTGCGTCTGGCTCGCCAAGCAGAGCAGAAGCCCTACTACACGAGCAAGCTGTGGTGGTGTGGGATTGCCCTGCTGGGGCTTGGAGAGGTGGGCAATTTCACAGCCTAYGGATTCGCCCCCATTGCTCTTGTCGCTCCACTGGGATGTGTTTCTGTTATAGGTGAGATTATTTGCCATTTCTTGCTTGTGTATATCCTTTAAGCAAATGCTTGTGGCTGGAGGGATAATACCACAGAAACTGCAGCAGGAACACAAGAGAAAAATGCTAATGTGGTTTGAAAAGAAATTATTCATATAATTACATGARCTGACAGTTTCACAAAAACTGCCTACTTAAATCAGAGACTCTTCTAATATATTTCTTTTACGATGATTTTGTCTTCGGTGTCACTCTGTGCTCTGCTAGTTCCTGCCCAGAGCTGCCACCTCTGCAAGGCCCCCAAAAGGGGGACTGGCATCCTGCTGCATGCACAGAGCTGTGCTCGGATCCCAAGTGCCTATAACGTGTTTTTCTGTGTTACCCTCACACTGAGTGGTTTTGCTGCCTGTTCCCTGCCCCTCCCTGTRATTGAGGTTGATGTGGGCAAACTTGCTTCACTTTCTGCAGTGTGTGACAAAAAGGGCCTAGAARTTTCCTGAAAGGTTTCATACATTTATGGGCATTAGTAAACATGTGCATTTATGACTTTATGTACAGATTAATGGCACTTWAGGTGATTGATATGATCTCTCTCTTTACTTCATGTGGGGTTTTTTTTGTTATTAAGGTACTCAGACAGGTATGAGATGTCTRTTTCTTTGACAAAGTAACACACATTTGAAAATATGTCATCATGAGCTAATGTAAAGCAGAGTAGACAGGGCAATACTGTACATGGCCTGTAAAAGCAGGAATACAGGGTGCAGCTGCTCACCTAATTACTAATTACCTAATACCTAATAACCTAATTACCTAATTAACCTAATAACTTCACATCCCCAACTGAAACATCCAGGACTGAGCTATCTCAACAGTCCTGAGTATGCTAGAGCTCCTTTATTTACTATTGGCAAATGATAACATTTCATGGTCTCCACTACCAGTTGAATGCTTGAAGGTGACATTGCAGTGACTGATTCTGCATGGGAAGGTAGGAAAGATGAGTGATCTTCCCAGTGGATTGCCTGGCTGTAGTGGAAGGAAGCAGCTAACCATATGTGGGTGCAATTTAGTGGAGAGGGGGGAAAGGAAACTGCAGGCAATTCACTGTAACCTTTAATGTTAAACTATTGCAGAATTTCAGATATAAAGCCTTGTCAATTCATTATRGTTGGAAAGATTTCTCAAAGAAAGGAATGAGATATTACCTGAGATGAAAATGTAAATTAATATGACATATCTCAATGTCAATGATTCTGGTGGCAGTAGTTACATCTTTAACAGTTGTAGACATTGCCAGGTGCCTCTGAACATCAAGGGATATCGACCAATCTCATTTTTTGCCCAAACTGAATAAAATGCAAATATAGAAAACTAGAAAGAAAAAGTAAAAAGCAATGAGTAGGAAAAAAAATCCCTATATTTATTAAACTGAAAAAAGATGAGATCACATTTAGGGTTGATTTTTATCCAAGCAGATTCCTTCTTTGCTTTTGCGTAGAAAATGCATAGAAATGTGGTTTCTGATGGTTCCTTTATTCTCCATTTCCCTTATAAYGAATATCAATAAACCATTTTCCTAACTGTAATGTATTAAAATTCTCATCCACTTTTTTTTTTTAAACTGGCCCAGAATGCTTATTCTGCAAGATCCCAGAAAGTACTTTAATATATTATATTCCATTCCCATAAATCAGCTGACAGTATCCATTTCATAGCCCAAACAATAGAAATATCTGAAATTTTATTTAGTCTAGCAAACATTCCCTTAAGGAAAGGCACGTAAAAATCATATAGACAGCCAATTACATCAATAACTCCCAGTAACACTTCCTACTACAAGACACTTTCCTGTCTTTTGAAATTAAGGCCAGAGAGAGTGCTCCTCTTAAAGTCCATTTAATTTTAAGAGTTCATCATTTAGGGAAATGACAAACTGACCAAGTGACCAAGTGCATCATCTGCTAACAGCTGGGCAAAGTGTGCTTTAGGCAGCACATCTTCCAATTTAAAAGATCAAGAAATATTTTTCTCATTAAGTTGTGACCTCTTTTAAGTGGTCCAGGATGGCCTTTGCAGAGCCTAGCTGACAGGTTTTTTTGAGGTATTGTTGAACTTGTGTCTTTCATAAATTAWTTTTTTTAATGAACAAATTAAGTACTTGATAACAAACTCCAAATGTGTATCTGAGCTCTAAGTCCAACCTTCTGAGAAGCATTCTGCTCCCAAATTCAGTGTCAACACGTCCCATATGGTGAGGGCTGACTCTCACTGACTGGAAATGCAGTGTACTGAGGAGAAACGTTCTTTGCAGGATGTCCAGTCATCTAGGGGATTCTCTGCAGGTTTCTGTGACTCTGGGTTTGCATGGAAAGTTTCCTTTGCTCGGAAAGCAGGGTTTGGAGGAGGATAAGGCAGACTGGAGTCTTTGCCCAGAATGGATTTGGGGCTGTACCCGTCATATATCTCCAGACTTCTGAGACAGGAAGCATCTTAAAATAGATGGAGCCAACATCTATTATGTTCTGCTACCACATTTAACTACATCCAACTGAATTTTGCACTTAACGCGGGATCAATTAAATAGTCAAAAGTTTGTGCCTCTTTCTATTGAGCTGGATGCTTCCAGTGACTGATTTTAAAAGAATCCAGCATCACAGATCATGAATTGGCATGGCACCAAGAGATCTATTTTTTTTTTCTTAGAATTAAGTTAGAAAAACGATATTTTTCTTCTTACACAGTGGAAGTATTTCTGTGTGTGGTTGCAATGATGCAAGCTCTACATCTGTTCAGGGTTTTAAATAGTTTGAGAAGACAGCACTTGTTTTCTTCAAGAGGAGAAATTAGTAAATTTTTAATTTAAGAGTGGAGGAGTAATAGATGTTTGATRTGATCATTAAGAAACTTTCTATACTTAAAAAGTAAAACTTGGGCTTTACACATAGCTTGGGTAATTTTAGGTTGCAGTGGTTTTTAGCTCATCCCCTTGCTTTTGCCTCCAGAAATAACCTAGGGGAGGGGAAGGTGACAAGAGGCCAATGGTATTGGAGATAATTTCTTCTGAAGTTTTCATTGTTGTGTGGAGAGTTGTTTTACACTTGGCTCACTTAGTTTGACATTGTTAAGATCCCTTTGCATTTTTATAAGCTCCATCAGAGGGGCGCTTTAGGCTTTGAAAAGCTATAGACCTGATGTATTTTAGGAAGATTCTAAGATACTCTTGTAGAAATGGATTTCTCCCACTCACTGCAATGTAACATCTTTGTGGCCCAAGAACTTGGAATTTTGAGGAGTCTGTTACTAATGATATCTAGGAAACATTCACCAAACTATTCATTGAAATAGTTGATTTGTACTTGCCTGGAAAATGCAACAGAGGGATTTTCAGGGTTTTTCCTTCTCTCTGCAGTGTATCTGTCCTATAATCCAGGTTCCAGAACGAAGCTCACCTTAATGGTTTCTCTTTTGAGCAATTTCTCAGATGGGGAAAAATGTTTCACCACTTCTCCAGTACTCATCTTTGATCATGTTAGAAATGTTACAAGTTCAGTGTGCGGGACAGCTATCAAGAGCTATCCGTAATGTCTTTCTTGGAATTCAGTTCAGCATTAATATCCATCATATAAACTAAGTTTTAGCAGTCAATTAGATGTAATGAATTTGTTTCCAGCTGTCATTTGAGCTGCAACAATTAAATGAGCTAWCTGGCTCATCTCTCTGGATTTTCCTGACTCTGTGGCAGACTACAATAGTTTGAGTTTGGGGATGGATTGAAGCACCTCCAAATTTTCCAGTACTCGGATGGTCCTAAATCACTTCAGCTTTGAAGATAGGCTGAGGGTCTGTTCCTATAAAGAGTATTTTGAGGTCACATCCTGAAATGTTACTGGCAGCAACTGCATCCTTGTAACTTGAGCACTGCTCCACTGCTTTAGGGCAAAATCAACTGGATGAGCTTAAACTGCTTGATTAGATGGAAGCACACCCTTAAGTTGCATGAAACAGAGTAAATGCTTGGTCTCAAAGTGAAATATTATTGCACAAACAGAGAAGTGGAATAGTCTTTGAATCAGATTCTCCTGCCTTGGTATTTCACCCAGACCACTGGTGAAGGGGGTACAAAAGTATTCAGCTTGATGGGTGAGTCTAAATGCCTTTACCTGACTGAGTTTGTTAGGCTTAAGAAAATGAACATTTAAAGCAAATATTAGATTTTGTGGGTTTCTTTTTTAAACTCTTGAAAACAGAAATAGTACAAGCAATCTATGCATTTATGAGGAGAGCACTAATTTTTTTTTAATGGCAATAAAGCTCATCTAGGAATCGAAAACAGAAGAAAGGACATACAATTATTTGAAGTTATGAACAGTTGTGACAAAAATTATTTCGTGTAAGACTTGACAGTAAAACAAAAGAGGAAAAAGAGTATATTCATAAATAGCTTGAGAATCAGGAAAGCAGCTCAATAGTGAAATACATAGTTTTGAATGGTAAAAATAAATCATGCACATTCACTTGAATTTTCTATGGCTAGATTGGACAAAATACAGAGAMTAGACACTATGAATTGGTATGTATTTTCTGTCTTCTGTTGTATATTATCCTTTTCTTAAAGAGATGAACAAAAGCCAATCTGAACTGCAGCTTTCATGTCTAGGAAGCAGAGGAGTTATTTTGTGAGCTGGGTTCTCACCACTCATTGTCTGCTGGTGGCAGAACCCACACATCACACTGCTCCTTATTGCTATTTGTGCTGGAGAAAAGCTACATATGGAGATGATTGTAAATGATCACTCTCCTAAGAGAATGAGCAGCTGATTGAGCTGTGTGTAACACCATTACAGCCCTTCCTCAAGGCACTTAATTGCATWTCATGAAGAAACTCAAAATTTTATATATTTTTTAAATTCAAATTCTCATGCTGCAGTGAATACACAATCATTCAATAATATCAATATATGATCATTCAATATATAGTGAATATATGTTAATTCAATAATAATGTAAATCAACCTGGTTTATGCTGATGTATGAAAATATGAAGATTTTTAGACAACAATTAAGCTCCTGAACAAACCCTTTTTTCCCATTTCCCCCCAATAAGTTTTTATTTGTCATGATTTTTATTTAGTGCCAAATCATGGCTTTCATTTGAGTCTCATGAGCATTCAGAAAGGCTCTGTCATATAGATACAAGCATTTTACAGGACCTATTTACTTCTCAAATTATTGATATTAATGTAAGCATGCAATCAAGGCATGAAACAAACTCAAGGACTATGTTAGGATGTGTTGGTTGTGTAATGTTTAATCCTTAACAGATCATCTCCCAGATTTTCTGCCCATCTCTTGATCTAGCAGGCTGCCATTGTCAGTGGGAATGGGAGTTGGATCCCTGCTTGCTTTTGAAAGTTTTACCTTGATAATTTGTTAAAAAGCTAAAAGTTATTCTGATTCACCCAAAGGTACACAWGTCTTCTCAGATGACCAGGGATGAAGTCTTTGCTTTGACAATCCAGGCCTAGGGTTGCTCATGTCCTGTATTCCCAAAACTAATGGTTCAAAACAAGTGAGGCTTCAGAACAATGTTAAATTGCTTATTTTGTGCCAAGATGCTGCCAGCTTACTCTGACACAATTTTTATTGGCATTTCTGTATGGTTGTGTTCTATTGCTGACCAATTAAAAGAAAACCAAAACAACAATAAGAAAATATTCCTCACTGCGACACAGATCTCGATCTCTATAACTGTCTGTAGCTTTTCTATAACAAGAAAACAAACAAACAAAAAGTTGCAAAGACATATTAATACTTTTCAGCACAGCAATTGCCCAAATTCCTCCGTCTATTCATCCACAGAGTTAAACACAATGTTCAATAATTTGTTTTCAGTATTCTGGCAGAGGAGGAGGAAGCACAGGATGTGTGACAGAACAAGAAAAAAGAGGACAGGAGAGAACAAGAGGACCCTGGAATGGGAAAGGGAAAATTTGGGCTGAGTGGCAGGGAGTTAAACTTACCCTGTGATGATGGGGGCAAAACAAGGAGAAGGGGAAGCAGGCTAGGAGGAAAGTRTGAGGTGWTAATGTCACTYRTAGAGARGAAGAGAGGTGGGAAGATGAGAGAYACCTCACCTGTGATCTGAGGGAGGGTGGGAAAGCAGTGGAGAGTCTGGGGAGTTTCAGCAGGTCTGCATTCAAGAACTGAAGTTGGGATACATGAAAATGTATATATATATATATATATATATATACATACATACAGATATGTATTCTAATATCTGGTGGGCCTGGTTACAGCCTCTGGATGCCCACTTACTCTCCTGCAAAGAGTTCACGAGTACTAGGATAACTCAGTTTAGAAGGAGCTCAAAAAGCACCTAACCCAACCTCCTGCTCAATGCAGGATCAGCTTGGAGGCCATCCAGCAGAGAGGAAATGGGAGAAGGTGTGTTGGCCTTTTAGAATATTGTCTTAAACTGCCTTTTCTGGAGAAATTAATGTCTTAAACAACTGAATGCTCTTGAGGTTGTGAGTGGGAGCCCAAAGGAGCTAAGGAAGAGGAGCAGAACAGCTGGRAGGGCTGTGGATTTCTCACTGGGCTCCTGGGGTACCCTGTGGTGTCTGTAATTTGTCTCAGCAGCCAGAGAAAGCTGCAAAGCCAGCAGAGGCAGAAGTAGTGAACACCAGCCTGCATCCCCAGGGCTCCTCCCATACCCCTAATCTGTCTGCATCAATCAGCTCTTGGTTCCTGTGCTTTAATCTGACTCAAACTTATCTTGAAAACTGAACAATATGAAAGACTATGCCAAATTCAAATTTTGGAGCCTAAACACAGAAAACTAACAAAATAAAAATAAAATTAAAATACCATGTTGTCTTGGCTTATCTACTAAAACTTGCTTAAAATTTGTTCCTGGAAGTAACGGTCAGAGTTTGTGAGGCTTCTGATCAGTCATGTATGTCTTCCAGCATCTCCTCAGGTCATGTAATTGTTCTCTGCTTATTCTCTTAGATTTACCCCATTTCCTTTTCTGYTTTGAATGCAAATGGAGCAGCTTACCCACARGGACAGTTGTCTTTTCTGTTCAGAGTATCTCCTGGGTCTCATTCTCCTCACCTTGGTGTTGTACCTCCCCTCCTACTTCAGTTTTTTCTCTAGTCCCAGATGGCCTAATATGTGTTCTTAAAACCTCTCCTATTTTTAGATTCCTCTACATATTACTTACATCATAAGGAGTATTAATTATACATAGATTCTGTTAAGCTCATGATCTCTGGTGCATTACCAGCTATCTCTGGAGACAGAGCTTGCTGCATTTGAATGCATTATTAAAGCAGATGACAGGCTGAGTGACAAGTTGCATTATCTGCCTTCATTCCAGCACTTCCTTGTGCCCACTGTCAGCCTCAGAGGTTGTGATMCCCCCAAGCTGATGCTTGGGCATAATTCATATTACCCCAAACGGGATGCCAACAGTGAAATTGCATTTACTAGACCTCTATTGAATSCAGAGAGCTCAGACACAGAGTACACAAAATGAGCAAAAAACCAGCAAAAAAAAAAATCCTGAAGATATCAGTCCTTTAAGCAACAGGTCTTTGCTGTGACAGAGACTGTCTAGGTGAGTGGGCTGAGGTGGGATTTGTGAAAGCTGTGAGAGCAGGGAGACAGAGCAGTAATTAATTCCTGCACTATCTTGCATGCTGCTGCTTCTTTCCTGGTTTTTGTCTCTTCTTCTTTCTAAGCTAGGTAGCTCTGCTATTACCAGTGTTGCCTGGATACCATCAGTGTCTGCACTCCAGCAAAGTCATCACTGAAAAATTGAATAGCAGGCAACTTAATTTCAATGAGGCATTTTCAGTTAAAGATTCTTTTATTGCACTCACTCGTTTGCACAGATCCCCATCACTCTTGATACAGTTTAAATTTATGACTTCTGCTAAATCTGATTTTCCACTGACTGGATAATAACAGAGGTGTGATGCTGAGTTCCATTTCTCCGTTTTCCTCTTGGTATGAACCTCTCTGGATTTTTCTASAGTACATCTATTAGCTAACCACAAATTAAAATTTCCGTGAGAACAATAGAGATAATGAGTCAAAAATAGCTGTAAAAAGGCTGAACTGTTCTTTCAAGAATAAACCATGTTGTAGACAAGTACAGAGCTCTTGTAGCAACATCCCACGACTCTGTTTCAATGTGCCCCTTCACTGCCCCTCCTGAGCTGTCTTTCTTTGTGTTTTCTGAATGAATCTAACATTATTGATGCACCTCTCACAGAGRACTTTACTCATCCCTTTCACTTAGGAGCTATCCAGCCTCTTTTCCTTCTTTTTAGAGACAGATGTGTGCTGAAATAGAGCCGTGTCTCCCAGTGTCATCCATCCTTCRTTCAAACSCCTTCTTTSCTCTCTAGCACATGTCCACACTGARCTGCTTASCAGAAAACCTGGCCCAACCACTGCTGCTGCTCATCTTCCCACTGCTGCCATCCTGAAGAGGTGGGACTAGSAGCTGGCAGAGGTCAGATGCAGGAGCTGAACGAGAAAATGTTTCCCAGAAAACAGGAAATAATTTCTWGGACTCACTTCCATTTTTCTCCTTTCCCAGAGCAAATCGCTCTGAAAGACCCCAGACAGTGCTCCCATGTGTTACATGTGCGAGGTTTTCTACCTGTGTGTTTGCAGACATCATGACCACTTAGTTCATACTAAATAATATGTTTTTGCAGCAACTTTCTTCTTCTCAATTGTACTGCTGTTACTTTACTTACAAACCTCTCATACACTGAAGTTTAAAGAAGCAGAATTTTATTGCTCTGTGATGCAATTTGCCTTAAACAAGTCCATAGAGTGGCTTGATAGCAGAATAGGGAGTGAAGCAGTAAGGCTGATCAGTGCCCAGTAAGGCTGATCAGTGCCCAGTTTTCCTGACATTTCCACATATGATTGAATCAGAGCAGTTTAAGCAGTGTCTGTGTAGGAAATAGGAAGGGTATTGCATCTTTTCAACCATATAAGAGCCTGCTGGATGCATCTGAACTCATAAAAACTGARTGTTGATTGCAGGAATGGACTGCTGGCTGTTTATATCATGGTATGGTGCAAAAACAACACCCATGAGATATATTTAAACTTGTCCCAGGGCAGGTTTTTGCACTTGATATTCTAGCAAATATATGTGTGTGTGTATATATATATATATATGTATGTATATATATATATATATGTATGTATATATATATATATAAATATATATAAAGGTCTTTATATTTCTGTTCTAGGTAGTGCATTTATTTCTGTCTTTTTCCTAAAGAAGACCATGAGGACTGCTGATATATTGGGTAAGTAAGCATTTGCTAATCTGGACATGTGTGCTGCCATATGCTTAGCAAGCTGCAACTCTCACGCAGCCCCCCACCTTCACACTCCCACTTTCCCGACCAAGTGTTTCAAGGCAGATGCATTCAAAATTGGGAAAAAGTATAAAAAGAATCTTCAGTGCATGAGGAAAAGAYTGTATTCCCAAATCCTCTGCTCTTACAACCATAACTCATTCCTTATGTGTCCTTATTGCTCAAATTTATTTTCATTTTCTATTTTTGCCTCTGAGGTTGTCTTTAGTATTATCTTTATGAGTGAAACACAGAATTAATAAAAACASGGAAGTTATTGAGTTACTCATTCAAATATAAGGTTCTTTTTCTTACTGCATAGACTGCACAAAAATTCAAGCTCAATTTAAAGTGATAACTTCCCTTTTAGTTTTAGTTTTATCGCTTCAATGAACMAACAATCATATTGTCAAATGTTCAGTTGGGAAATGTGGTGTTCACCGTAAAAGTGTGTCAACTTTTTGTCTGTGTCCAAGTTTTTTTTTTGCATATCAAAACTGCCCACYTTGAACACAGTAACAGTGAGAGAAAAGCACATTTCAGGGTTTGGACTTCACACCAAGCCATCTCAACTGGCACAGAGTGCCTGATGCAGGGCACCTGATATCTCTGTGGGTTCCTAGCATTCAGGCTTGATTGCCCAAACTGTAGTGAGGATAGCTGTTCTCATGAATGTTTTGGAGAGATTTGTTCAGTATCGTTCCAGGAATACTGTATACGATTTATTTAGGTTTGGAATCCAAGTTTGCCAGCTCAGCTGCTAAATTCAAAAYCCCCCTCCCTTCACTGATCATGTTTCCCTTATGGCCTTATACACTGTGTGTTGCTTTAGCTAGTGTTCAGCTGATTTATTTTATTTCTGTGAGTTTTACTTTGCAAGACAGATTTAACAATGTTGCTACATTCCATAAGAATGAGTTGTATGATGGGAAATATGGTGATGGTTTTGCAAGCACATAAATATAACACAGTTCTGCTTTTCCAAGGGAATTGTGTGAGATAGCAGTGCCAGCAAAGCCCTCCGGATGTGCTTTGTTTCGTATTCCGGAGCCTTGCATTCTGCACCGATTTATAGGTTTGCCAGGAATTTTAAARATTATTTGAAGAAAAATTGATTAGCTAATATCTTCCTTAATCCAATGCACTTTATGAGCTTAGGATCGGCTCACTTCTATCTCRATACTTCAATGAACATCTGTGTTTGTCAGCTGGATGTCCACAAGGCAGAACTTCCAGATTCTTATTAAAAGCACAATAATGCAAGTTCCACCTCGAAAAGGGGCCCTGGCAATCTAGTGGCTGAACAGACTATTGCAAATCAACTTTTCATAAAACAGATTGTAGRTTTGCAAATACAACAGGGAGTGGCCAAAATGTTGGCCTCGTGATAGCTTCACCAGAGCACTGGACTGGCACAGATGTGTTGCATCTGATGCTTCCAGGGCAGGTTGATAGCTGGTGCAGACCTCTGTWGCCACACTGGCTTTGCTTTTTTACACTGGTTAACCATTTTGCTGACTGCAGGACTGCAGTAATAGGAAGTTCATCCTTTCAGTTTAGCCTAGATTTATGTGACATACTTTGTGCCTGTGAGAAATATACAAAGGATGGATTGTCCTTAGTCATACAYTTGGGTTTAGAATTGAGAATATTTGAAAATGCRTTGTTGAGTTGGAACTAGACAGCTTTCTTACATTTCTGTAATTCTTTGAGTCTTTMATAAAAATTAGACTAGATGAGWCCATAAATGCAAGGTAATCCAAATRCCTAAGCACAGATCTGCTTAAATGGACTTYAATTTTCTTCTAGAAACAATTTCCAAATCAGCTGWAAATCAAGTATGACTGTGAATACCAAATACTGTATTGCCAAAATAATGTCCTTTTCTTTAAAGGAGGAGCACTGACCATAACAGGGATTTACTTGTTGATGACATTCTCTCCAAATGTACCTCGAGAGCTCACAGCAAGACAAGTACAGAACTACTTAGTGAGCTGGCCTTTTTTGATATATTCAGTGAGTATCTGGTTYACACTGCTCCCTTAATCAGAAAAACTGGGGTTATTGGGGTTTTTACAGCATTATGAATTAGTGGTAGAAAAACWTCTGAAGATAAATTGTGTGATTTTCATAGGAGAAAGTCCCTTCTTGTCCTACTGAATCCAAGCTGAAAATATGCAGCACYAAAAGGTATTTTTTAGCTACATATCAGGGGAAAGTCATAGTTGTACAGGGTTAACAAGAGTGAAAAGATTTTGATGTTTGGGGAGATTGAGGGAAAACCTAAATATTGTTACTGCTTATATTTCCTATATACATGTTCATGCCACCCCATCTGCCTGTACCTCTGAGTTACAGGGCTTTTCTGGAATGTGATGGAATTGTGCTTTTAAAAATCAGGCTATGCATATTCTTGGTCCTGCTTTTTTCCTTTCACATCACTCTGTTTTATCCCTGTGTTGTTAAGCCTGGCTGAAAGAAGCTTTGTATGGAGCTGAGATGTGAAGGGGTCGCCTGCTTCACTGTCACTTGGGTTGATCTGAACCTGAGTTAGAATTCAAATAAAGAAACACCATTTTGAYTAAAGTATCTGTATACAAACTTCACACATCATGCATCTTCTCTGATGTATTTCATTAACATCAGGAACAAGACCAGAGTGAGAAGGAGGAATTTCTGTCCCTCTTTTCCTCTGGAAAGCTGAAAATGTTTTCTTCCAGCTGAATGTAAAAGATGCAATACAGGAACTTCAGAAGCAGCTACTTATTCCCTGTAGAGTCACTCACTGAAGTTAGATTCTTAGTGCTCAGGCTTTTCTTAGGAATCTCAGTAAGAAAGCCACTGAGTAGACAGTTTAAGGACTTTAATCTTATAGCCAGCCTGCAGACTTTACATGCATCTAACTATCCACCAACCACTGATTAAACATAAATTGCATGCTACCATAAAAAATGTTGATCTTCTCTTTCAATTTGTTGTGCATTTTAAACTCTCTTTCAATTTTTGTATACTTTAAAAGATCCTGAAAGATGGTGATACAGCTTAGTGGAAGAAATAAATATTCATGCTGTATAAATCACAACACGTAGTTTTAATCAGGCAGTAGAGAGGCTTTTGAAGACAATACCCAGGAGTTTTGGGGTACTCAGTAGGGTAGTTTCAGCCTCCAGAAGAGCTTCAGCTACTGTGCTTTTAGCAGAGTAAGAGGAGGGAGCTCAAAACAGGAGTATCAGTGCTCTTTCTTTGCTACTGAATATAACCCTCTCCCATGCAGTTCCACTTACAGATGATAAAGTTGCCTGACATTCAGGCACTGACATTAAATTGTTGATTCACAGATTTGTGCAGAAACGGTGGAGAGAGAAAACTCCCCATCCACACCCAGTCACACCAGAAATTTCTGTGTTATATGTCATTCAAATTTTCTTGAAACAAACAGGTTGCTGGAAAAGGGCTTTKCCCCACCTGAGGACTTTTTTTGACTTAATTTCAGGAAAAGTTTTCAAGAATACAATTGAATGCCTAAGAAGATTGTGCTGTGTTCTTCTTAAGGAGACATTATGAGGAGGTGTAGATAACCCCTAAGCTTTCTTTTCCCTCTTATCTGTTTTCCCTACCTCAGTCAGCTCCTAATTCTGCATGTATAGCATAGGTTGTGGGGAAGGATGGAGCAAGCACCCAGCAAATCTTCTTGAACCAACAATATATCAAGAGTTACTTGTTCCTTCTTTTCATGGATTCATCTRTGTTGAGCTTCCTCTGACCAAAGAAAATGTGCAAGTGAAAGGCTCCACAAGAGAATCTGAGATACCAGTCTGATTATCCTGGTATGCTGCTGGAAGATCAAGCAAACCCYGATGTAAACATTCTCTTTGGGCAGGGAACAAGCTCTTCCAAGTTGTTTGTAAAATGCCTCGCTCAGGTTGGCTGTTGAGATATAAAAAAGTGCAGCAGAAGCCACAGAGTTTCCAATATAAATACACAATGAGGAGACAGTACAGAAGCATAATGCAGTCCAACAGTCTTTCTAAAAGTAGCCCCAGAGTGTGGTCTGCTGAGAAATACAAAGCTCCTGTGGTACAAAATGTTCTCTGTGGGTGGTAAGCCATCCCCATGTGGGAGTCCTCTGGTATAGTCTGCAGAAATAACCTCTAATTCCCACAAGACAAACTTTGAGTCGCCTTCTGAGACTTTGCAGTAGCATAATTATGTCACAGCAAGAATGACTGTCCTAGCTTGTTTTTTTCTCTTTTGCTTATGTGCACTTTGAGTCTCTACAGAAGACATAAATCATAGATGAAGCTCTTAGGTTTCCCTAAACAGAAGCATGGTAAAAATTGGGTTGTTAATATTTAATCTTTGCATAATCAGATTCAAAACATTTCTGCTTTTCTTTCGAACTGCCTAAAAGACCCTCCTGCATATGCCAGAAAAGCAATTGAGGTATGTGGTATTTTTTTCTGGTGCCTTCTGGTAATGCTTAGAAACATGGAAAACACGATTATTAAAAAATGTTGATGAGATGTGGGGTTGAGGAGACCTCAGCAGAGATCAGTTACAATAGCAAAGATGATTGCAAGCAGGTGAAGTTCCTTCAATTCCTCTAAACAGAGTATGGGAAACTGACACAATCTATGCACATCCCATTCCTGGATTTCATATTTATCCCTACCACAGATATCAGTGATGAGAGTAAGGGCTGTTTTGGGTAGTTCTCAGAAGACAATTGTAGGCAGCAGCTGGGGCACCCTWGGAGGGTTCCTGGCTGTGTGAGGTCCTGTTAGGAGCCATGCACTCTGCTTGCAGTGTCACATGCTCTCCCTTGTCTTCTGATCAAAGATGACCTGTAGGTGGGTCACCAAGTGGCAGAGAACCATRGAAAATAGTTGGGCTGCTGGGCAGCACTAAGTGAGAACTAATTGTTTCAATTTCCTGCTTGGTGTGTGAGACTTGACAGAGCTGAGTAAACATAAACAGCAGCCCTGAAAAGCAAACATCATTTTTCTCCCTAGTTTTGGCCACAGGACTGCCATCTCTGGCCCTATCCCTCGGCTGCTCTTGGGGTTTCTCCAGGAGGCAGAGGAGCCATCACACAGATCTGTGAGTCCCTTCCAGAGCTGCCATCAGGGACTCTGATGTCCTTTCAATGGTTTTGCTTGGCTGATTCCTTTCAGACACATCTTCTTGGTGGGTTTGCTTTTAAGCAGGAGGAGATCACAGTGGAGCTTTATGGTAGCTTTAGCAAGGGAAGAGGTGATGAAACAATGAGAACCAACAGAAGGCTGATGAACAGATCATGACCTGGTTCAGGCAAGGCTGGTGCTGCTTGGCACTGCCTGCTATTAGGTGGTTGGACGGAGGTGGTAGAGAGGGAGTGGAATGACAGAGCTGCTGTGATGGAGCAGTTTGAGATGGTGACTGCCCCTTGGCTTGTTTTTGGATGGTTGTCCTTACATAGTTTGCAATCTCAGTGACAGGACATGATGGCGCTTCCCCGTGCTGTGATTGTCTAGAGGGTACAGAAKGAACGATGCTGGTGTGGCTGGCTGCCTGCAGTAGGGCTGTCTCATGGGTTTCTGCACACTGTGGTAGCCAGACCAAGGCTGTGGGAAGGGTGGCTGCTGCTCAGGTTTTGAGAGAAGCAGATCTCACAATGCTGTGTCACATGGGGCTGTGCCTGGATGCCAGTCCTGAGCTGGTGTGTCATGGAAGAGGATTCCTACACATCCCTGGGACTCCTCTCTTAACGTGGTTGCCTTTCTGAGTGGGGAATATTTATTTAGCACAGGTTTCTTCCATTCTGCTACCAATTGTTCACTRCCAAAATAGCAAATGAAGCTACTTGGTGGCTGTTGTAGCTGCATCCTGATAATGTGATATACCCCTCTGGCCCTAAATGTGTTTGCCAGTGGCACAAAAACCAAAGCTGCCACCTTTACTTCTCCTCTAAAGTCCCCTCAAAACCCTGTCATAGTTTCCAACAGGGAGGCCAAGATGAACTCACCTATCTGCAGATCTCAATGTTTATTGTGCCCWGGTTCCTCATCTGGACACACCCACTGTTGCACTGTCGAATAAAGCTGGAGAGGCTGGCCAAGTTACTGACTGTGAGATTGAGGCAAAAGCCTCTTTTCCACCAGCTGGTGGCCCAGCTTTCATCCCTGAGTGCAAGCCTGGGAGAAGGGACATCACTCTAGAGTGAAAACTTTGTTGTTTGGGGTTTTTTAATCTTGTTATAAATATTTGACACTTTTTAAAGAGAGGTGGTATAAAATCCAAATTTRTGTTCTTCATTATTTGAATTGCAATTGTCTCTTGGTTGTCTTTGGGAGCAAGGGATCCACATGAAGATAAATAAAAATTGAATTACAGCACATGATTATGTTCTGTTCATATTTTTAAATACTACTGAACTGGGGAAGGTATAAATGTGTCAGAGAATTTTAGTAACTGGGCATWGCTGACAGCTGTCCTGTTGCAGTCAGTCTCCAAAGTGATAAATGGGCTGCTTACATTATGTAACCATCTCCAGGAACTGTTATGTTGCCTTTTTGAAAATTTCATCAGCTCAACACCCAGGTACTTTTGAGTCTAGTACTGCCTTACAGTGGCTGTTGGTTTAAGAGTGAAGGGGCATTATAAAACATGAAATGGTATGCTGGTGACAAATTCAAGGAGATAAATAGGTATTTCTATGATTTGATTTGTTGGCAAAAAAATAACAATAATGAGATTCAGTGATTATGACAATTTCATTTTCTGTCTCATTTCCCCCATTTGATTACTTTCTGACATGCACAAATTAATTTTTCCATCTTCATGTTGTCTCTAAGGCTGCCAGGCTTCTGAGAACCTCTCAGGGCAGAGGTGCATCATTCCTGCTGTCCTGATTCTTCTGGGCTTCACAGAAGCTTTATGGGCCTTGCACTTGGTGTTTTCTTTAGTCTAGAGGGATATTTGGGGAAACCCTTAGGGTAGGAGACAGAATATCTKTGCTTTTGAGATGGCAAAAGATACTGAGTGAGTCTGCAGAGCCACATTAACAGCAAGTCAGAAAATTTCCCTGTCATTTAGATGTCACATACTATAGAAGGAACAAAACCAGACCATGCATTGTGCAGGCAAATCTGCTTCAGCATCTAAAGATGTCTTACAGTGTGGTCTCCTAGTGTGTCATTGAATTTTGCAAGGTAAGCTCCTGGCAGGTAGCTGTGATTTGAGAACTATCACATGAAATAATGCTTTCCTCCTTATGATGTATGGCAGAAAATTTGGATAAAGTTTTGAGGGGACTTTTTAGTGGGAATGTTGAGAAGGTCAAAGGGTAGCAAAAAGAAGCTTGCACATCACAGTGACAATGAGAATATTATAGCTAAAAAGAGAGATTGCTCTCCTTTTAGTTTAGTACTTTACTCCACAGGAATTATAAACAGTTTCTGTAAGTATTATTACTAGCAAATGTTGTACCTTTGCTGTCACATTAAAAAAGTCTTCTCAGCATTACCAGCAACAAAATATGGATTGAGGTGCAAAAAGAAAAACTAAAGATATAAGAAATGCACAAAGTTTGACTTTTGCTGTAATAGGAAAGATCAATGACAACAATTACTTGATAGCTCAGTCAATTGTCAATAGTTATTTTTTTAGCAGAAGATATTTTATAAAGCCATTCTTCATTGCATAGGTATATCAGCAAAAATGAATGTGATATGTCAAAGACTTTGAATGAAGCATTTATTACATAGTTTCACAGCTCTAACTTTCCTCTCTTTTCTTTTCAGATTTTAGAAATTATAATATTCTGCATTCTCCTCTATTTTTACAAAAGGAAGGCTGTGAAACACATCATGGTTTTGTTAATGATGGTAGCACTACTGGGTAAGARCATATTATTCGCTTTAATGTTCCTGTCTGTTACTTGATAATTCCTTGTCAYTCCATCTCTCCAGATGATTTAGATTAGAGCCATTTCAAAGCAGTGTACTGAGAGAGAAACACTGRAACATTTCACATAGTTTTTACTGGGGTCCCTTTTTGAAGAGAAAAGCTGATTATGAAACWGAGTTTCTGTGCTTATTGCTGGGACTACTTTTTGCAGATACCCTGAAATTAATGTGCTGTGTACAATGGTATTCTGAAACTTTTTTAAAATAACACTCTAAGTTTAGATCCTGGGGAAGTGGACTGTTTGAAACTTTRTTTTGGAGAGCAGGCTGTGAAAATCAGTTCTTTAAAACAGAGCAGCTGAAGACCTCGTAAGCACTCTGTAAACAAATGCAGTGATATGCTGTGACTGTGCAGCAACTCTTAATTATCCATGACTATTTGCATATGCAACATTTCATATTTTACCACCTTTCCCAAAGAACAAGAACTCAGTGGGCCRCTGAAGTTCACGTTCTATCATTGTCACCACAATCAATAACCAGGGAAACATGGGATATCATTTTATCAGGCAGCTTTCAATAAAATCAAGCTTGAATCAGTTTTGAGAAATGTCAGGAGGTCCTCCCTAAAGCTCTTATGTTTGCAGGCTTATATCAAGAATTTTCACTACCCCATGTGACAAATTCTCCTGTCCTTGTCTTGTCATTTCTCCATGAAACCCTCATGGGACATCACAAGTCTTTGGCTGAAGTGAAAGGTGTTTGAACTGTGCTATTGAAATCAAAGGTTATTTTTTCACTGAGTTTAGTGGGTGCATATATCAGTCTGCAAAGATTTATATTTATAATAGAAATGACCATGAAGGTTTTGATAAAATAGCATTTCACTAAAGTTTGTCAGATACAAGATTTGGATTTAACTGAATGTGAAAAACCCTCAGAGATCTATTAATCCCCTTCCTTCAGATCCCTGAGTAGTTTCTTACTCATCTGAAAATCTCAGACTTTCAGAAAAACTTTTTGGGGGCAGTCTTCCCATGTAAGTTTGCCAGCTCTAGGAGCATTAGGATCTGTAGCTCTGCAGAAGCATTGAAGGATTTCCATGCTCCCTGCATGGGGCAGAGATGGAAGAACCCCATGGGTCTAACTGCTCTTGGTTTGGAGGAGGAAGTGTGAGCTTGGAGCTTGGCAAAGCTGGCCTGAGCTGCTCTGCAGCTTCCAGCACTGCCATGAGGATCGTGCAGCCCTGTGCACTCCTGAGTGAAGGTCCAGCCTCCTTCTGCACAACTGGAGATTTCCAGATGTGCTCCTGCACATCCCTGCTGCAGTTCTGGGCCAGACCCACCATGGGCCAGCTCTGGGTCCCTGGGCTGTTCTGTCCAGCCCTGGTGGCTTTGCCTTGCCCCTGCCAGCCCCGATGCTGCCGGCGTGAAAGGGACACACGGAGCTGCTGAGCAGCAGCAGAGCTGCAAACCTGAGCCCTGGAGGGCACAAACTGCACTGTGCTGCTCTGGCTACAGTCAACAAAAAATACAATTACAGCTGGTGGCTGTGAGCATATACAGGCTGAGGAAAAATGGATCGTTATTTCCGCTCTATTAAAAAAGACACAAACAAACAAATCCCGGTTCGTGGAAGTTTCTGAAATGCTGATATTTCCCTTGAGCATGAAACCCAGAATTGCATCTGACTGTGGTTGCTGCAGCTGTCCTGGAGCCTGGCAATCCCTACAAAGCTACACTTGGAGCACTCTGCTTGGTCTCTGACCTTYCTGCTGAGCGAAGTGATGGATGAGCTGAAAAATTGTCTGTAACTTTGCTCCCAGCTGTGTGACAGGGGCACTGCCCTTGGAAGGGCCTGTGTGCCAGAGGGGTGGGCACTCGTGGAAAATGATATATTCCTGGTGGAGTGTACACACAGATGTAAATTAAATGTAGAAAGGTTTCTTTAAAGAGAGGGCAGCCTTCTGTTTCACTGGATATGCAAGCTACTTTCACCATCAAGAAAACACAGAAGTGATCACAAAATCTGATACGGTTTTGCTTAGTACAACTCTGCAAATTCATTTGAGAATTATCTTACCTCAGAGTTATCATAGGTTTGGGGAAAATATTTCAGGTTATAGTAGGTTTTCAGAGTTTTCTGCTCTAACAGCTGGAAAGTGACATCATTTGTCACACTAGCCTTGAGGGGAGGTCATTCTAACAGAGAACAGAAAACAACTTCCTAGGATTGAAACTTGTTTCAGAGTTTCTTTGATAAAAAAGATCATTCCACTTCTCTCAAAGAAGATAAACCAACCAAACCAACCAACAAACCCCCTGGWGCTTTCATTTCTGTCTTGATAAAATTATAAGGCATGGAACCTGCCCTTTCATAAGAAAAAAAAATGTTTGAAATGTTTACCCTTAGCTGGACAATTCAAAATACTCATTTTTACCTCTGAATGTTCTTTTAAAATAATAACTTCTCCATGTTAGAGTGCAAATCTCAATTTTTGACTTTGTATCATAGCATTTAMACCCCTGCAGGCCAGCATTTGACCTCTGCTCAGTTTTACAGCTGGGTTTGTTAAACCACCTGTTTCCATCACWGAGAAAGAAGTGAAGTGCTCAGTGCAAAGATTGTCATGAAAACAGTGAATTTCATGGTGATCAACAGGAACATCACAGGRTGAACAGGATGTATGCAACTCTTARACTCCCCCTGAACTTTTGGACTTTCTATAAGAAAAATGCTTGCAACAAAAAACCCACAGACTTACATTCATTCTTCTTCTTCCCCTCCTTTTCCCCCAACTCTTGGCCTGAACCTGCAGAGTGCAGGTCTCCTTGCCAATCTGAATGTTACAGGAGGATGAATCAGGCCACTGAAATTCAACACTCCTCAGCTCTGCACCAGGGTGGAACAGGATCTCAGCTAAGGGACAGTGYTCCTGACAATTAATTACCTCTCCTCTCAGGTCATCTCTGCAGCCTGACTCTTGAAATTTTTAGGGGTTTTGGATTTGTTACATTTTATTTGCAGTAATCACAGCCTTCGTGGGTTAGTTTCCACAAACCAAGAACTCCAAAAGGAAATCTAAAGTAACTCTTAGCTAAACTCTCAGCCCCTTTTATAAAAGATTCGTCTTGCAGAACTACTCTGAACTGGTGACATATATAAAATCATTGCCTGCAGTCTGAAATTTGTTTGTGGTGTTGATAGTGATTAAATGGATTGATAACCCACCACTGAAATACTCTTTCTGTGGGATAAATGGTCTTAAGCACCTGGCCCCTGAAATGAAGTGCAGACCCCTGTGTTGTTTTTCTGGTCTTTGTACCTGTCTAATCCATGGGGAGAGTTAGGTGCTTTGGGATGTGATCCCATAACTCAGCTTTGGCCAGCTGCTGTCTCAGCAGAGAAATCCTGGGGGTGATGAATTATTTGAGGCTGCTATAAAGAGGTGTCCTAACTGCTTTGAGCAGGTAACCAGACCTCTCAGTTGTCTCCTGAATACTGCAACAAGGGCTCAAAATTAGCAGTTGGATCCAAATAAAGAATGTCTGGAAGGTGYGGAGGCTGTTGTACCACCACCTGTAGCTGGTAGTCCAGTGTGCTACAAGAACTTGAAGGCAAAACRCAAAACATACATGGACCTAAGACCACTGAGTGTAGACAGTAGCTTAGCAAGAATTTATAAAATAATRTAATTGTTTTAGGTGCCCAGATCCTTCCTCAGTCTTATTTTGTGTGATCAGGCCTATGGCTCTGACCTGGATCCTTGTCCTCCCTCGCTGATGCTCTGAGGTCACTGCCAGTYTGAATCCTGCCCTGATAATCTCTTCCTTTCCATTTCAGCATCACTGACTGTCATTGCTGTTAAGGCTGTGTCCAGCATGATAGCACTTTCTGTGAAGGGGAAAATGCAGCTGACTTACTCCGTTTTCTTTATCATGATTGTTTTAATGGCAACTTCTTGTGCTTTCCAAATCAAGTAAGTGAGATTCTACTTACCTCCTAACCTTCATGMATATTTTATCTGTCAGTTTTATTTGGTACTGATAATGATTCCAGATACAAGTTGCATTTTAAGGCAACAAATTCCTGGCAGAGCCTTGACAGATGCATGAATTGCCTCCAGCTGATTGTATTGTTTATTTAGGCTTTATTTCTTAGTTTATAATTGATTGTTATGGACACAACCTTCCTCTCATTATCGCYTTCAACAAGGTATTCCCAAATTTGCTTGCCTAGTTTTGGCACAGGTCTTAAYACACGAAGTGAAATTTATGCTTATGTAGTCATTAGGGGGTTACTTTTAGAAACCTTTATTGCTGAATAATCAAATGGCCATGTTTACCCTCATTATTCACATCTATTCCCCAGCTTTATGTCACCAGTCAGAGTGAGGAGGAGAGTTTATCCCAGCTTTCTCTCTGCCTCTGTTAAATCTGTGTGCTGCTCTTTGCTGTCCTCTGTGACTGCACCTTTCAAGTTTTCCCTGCAGGSCTCTGCTCTGTGAAGTGGCTGCTTTGTGGTGCCTTTGCAGATTGCAGGGGGTGGCAGCAGAGTAAAATATGCCTTGCAGCTGAACAGTCTGCTCCCTTTGCTCCCTTTCTGCCTGTCCCTCGGCTTCTGGTGCTGATAGCAGCCCGCAGTAATCTCATCTAGACTGCTCCAGTGTGAGCCTGAGCTGTTACTTGCATGATTATTTTCCGGTAGAAAAGCCAACCCAGCCTTTTCGTGGCAGAACATACCATTCCCATGTGGAACCAGAAAGTCSGTGCATTATTATGCACTGACTCTCCATGGCTGACTCGGGAACTCCCCTGTAACAGATTACAGAGTGATTTACATCCCGCTTGTCTTTGCTGGGCGAGCCACTCTGGGCATTCAAAATAGGAAATAAGAGCTTGGTAAATAGGAAGCTGCTGAATTAACCWGACCATCTTGTAATTTTTTTCTTTCTTTCTTTTGCTGGCCAAAATTAAAGCAGAAATGAAATGTGTGCATTTCATTCCCTGGGCTCAGTGTCCCTTTCTTTCTACTATTTGGATGCACTTTCTAACAGGGACAGTGCTGTCAGTCTAAATTTTTCATTTAATTTGTTTCCTCTCTCATTTTATTTGACTGTCWTTTGTTAGTTCAGAACAGCCTGTGCTGCAACAATCTCCTGGAGCCAACTCTGGGCTTTGGTATCACTGTTTTAGTCCCTGTGACCAAGTTTGTTGCAAATGAGGGAAAATAATGAGGTGTTTTCAATGACTTCAAAATCCTGACTATCCTGTGGATATGTAGGATTTCTTTATTTTTAAAGCACCATGGAGACTGTTCAACAGTTGCTAAAATAACCTCGCAATTATTTTAATGGCTAAAACAGATCCAGGCTTGGATTTTTACTGTGCACATATATTGCACCAGTGAAACGTTCAAGTGTGGTTCTTTTTACAGGCTTGAATATACTCTGCAGATTCCTGATTTTTTTCTCTCCGAAATGACCATTCCCATAACAGAATAYCTACAGGTGCATCCACAATTCCAGCTCATGATTCATCACTCTGTGGGTGAATGTTGATAGCTGTGCTCTCTGTTCAMGTGGGTTAATTGCTTTGCCTGTTTGCAGATTGTGCAGGCTGCTCCAGTCCTGCAGGTCTGTGTGCAGTGCATGCTCCTGTGGTCCTGCTCTTGCTCGTCATTCTGCTGAGGGTTCATGTCTTTCTGAAGAGCAGGGCAGAGAGTTTCCAATCAAGGATCACAAGCTTGCCGCCACCTTCCTGGGCTTTCCCAGCAGGGCAGAGTGTTTCTGGGATGTGATTTCATGGATAAGTGCACAAGTAGGTGTTTCAGCCGAGCTGGATTGAGYGGTAGCAGCAATGTGGACTTCAGCAAAGTGAAACAGTGCCTATGAGAACTCACGTGTTCACGTCCACGATGCAAATATACCCTCACATGACCTGTTTGAATTAGAGCARCTTGTCCCTGGCTGCTTTCAGGCAGCACTGCTTCCAAGAACCAATGCAGATCATAARCAATAATACCCTAGCATTCCTCTCTTATCTGTGGCAGACAAAATTTTTCCAGCAATGCTTCAAAAATATGTCCATTGACAGCCTATGGCCAGAAGATTCCATGCCAACCTTCTTGCTTTCTCCTATTCATTTGTACTCTTGATGAGTACAACCAGAAAGTAAATTCAATACATGTATGCTGTCCAGGGCTACTTTCTGTTGTGGTAAGAAATGGTCATACTCACTGCTAAACTGAAAAGAAGTGGCTTAACCTGACTTAAAGTGCAAGGAACCTCCTGTAGACATGAGATGCAATAACGCTTTTCTTGCAGGTTCTTGAATCAAGCAATGCACCTCTATGAAGCAACAGCAGTCGTCCCCATTAATTTTGTGTTCTTCACCACCAGTGCCATCATTTCAGGTTTGTTTCTGACCTTCTGCCTCTACAGAAAGATTTTCTAAACATCAGGTTTTCAAGAATCACTGCCTGTGAATAGGAACCCAAACCAGACATTTTCGTCTTCACAGAAAGCTTTTCCTAAATCATAGGTGTTTAGGTTCTGAAAAATAARTAAGTTCACAACTTTTGAAACAAAATGAATGGCAGGGGTGTTGGAACCAGACCATCTTTAAGGTCCATCCCAACCCAAACCATTCTATGTTTCTATGAAAAATAATTGAATTCTAACCTTTCCAAAATAGATACGTGTGATTTACTGTGCTTTGCTGGCTTACTAGAAGTACCTGCATTTATCCYAGCCTCATACTGACATCCAGTAAATGCATTTACCATGTGCACACCAGTCTCCCTATACGAACTGGTAGAGTAATTTTAACAGCCTGGCAAAGTACTCAAATGACAACCAGCTGTGCTTCATAGTAGTTAGCGTATATTCCATTTCAGAAGGTGGAATTCTGGGTTAAGTGAAGGAAATAAAATGACTGCAAAAACTTTTTAAGCATTTAACATTTTATTCTGGGYGAGAACTTTGAACTCAGCATTGTTAAAGAGGGACTGCAAATCTTGGAAATGGTGCATATCCTAAGAACATGAGCAGGGAGGACGACTAAGATGCTGTATCAGCAATGAGCCAAAATGATCATGTTGTTAGAACATTTATGACTCATTTTAACACACACTGGGGGCTTTCCTGTCATTGCTGTGCAGGAGTTTCTCATGCAGAGCTGCCATTAATGAGAAGGGGAGTTAGCTTCACGCACAGATTGCCTCAGCACCTGTGTTAGAAGAGACCTACACTTTGTGACTGAGAGGAGACTTGTGCCAAAAGGGGGTTGTGTTCCTGTGACCATATGGGGAATTTGGCCTGGTGCCTCTTTAGAAGATCAAGTACCTATTCAGGAATGGCTTAATAGCTTTGAGAGTGGATACACATGCATTTGCACCAGGTTAGTTAAACCAGAGCAGGGCTTAGAGGAGCAACCTCAGCTGAATYTTGCTGGGGTGCTGGTAGAAGGCACCTTGTCTCATGAGTCCCCCATCCCCAGCTCCAGCCTTTGAAGACACAGCCACACTTCAGCTGCACTGGTCCCCACTCCGGCGTTCCTAAACGAAGCTGTGCTTGTCAGTGGTTTAAAGCTAATAAACTTGGCTGTTAATAGGGGCAGCTGAGATCCAGAGACACATCTGGTTCTGTCACCTCCACTACTGAGGTGCTAATTCCTGGAAGAGGGGTGACCAGAAAGAGCTAGTGATCCCTTCAGCCAGAAAGATTTGTCAAACTTGGCTGCTGGAGCCCTTCACTTGGTGTAAACATCAGGGACACAGTTAGTTATTGAAAATCTGTTCCCAATTGGAGCTAAGATGTCCACATGGTCTGCTGGAGTAGCTTAACGAAGTCATGAAGAATCTCTCAGCTATATTGGTATGTCTCTGCTTGTGAATRAGACCTCGAGTTTGACCTGCATGGAAGCTGTTGCTGACAATGCAAAAAATAAGTGCATCTGTGCAATTACTAACCCAGCACATGTTCCAACCTCATTGACTAAATCTTCTCCAGTCCAATGCAGTATATAGAGAAAGCCTAGATTATGGAATATAGGACATAAAATGAACACATCACAATGTGTATTAATACCTTATTTGGGAATTTTTTTGCTCCGTTTAAGCATGACACTGCTCCTGACCCTCCCAGCTGTAATTCATATCACTTGGAAGCCAGTCAAGATCTGCAATTCTTGTTTCTGTCACATTCCAGGGGTCATATTTTATCGGGAATTCCAAAGTGCAGCTTTTCTGAGTGTGTTCATGTTTCTGTTCGGGTAAGTGTATCAGCCTAAAATCTGCACCAAGGTTTGTACTGAAACAGCATTGCCTTGTGGAATCCCATCTTTTCTCAGTAAGAAGAAACCTGCCTTGTTATTAAAGTATTATGGAATAGCCATTATAGTAGGATAAAAAAAACATTAAAGGAAAGATTGATGTCTGTGCTTTGGGAGTTTGGAGGCCTGGTTTTGAATCCAAATATGTAAAAATGTGAGACACTTGTGAACTACTAATCTCACAATGGAATGAAAAACCAGCATCATGTGTTCCTCCAGCAGGAAGGAGAAGTCACTGCTCTCCACCWAATATCAAATTACAGGGGGTGCTTTTACAGCTGTGAGACATCTCCTCCCATGTTGCCTTCGCCCRGTGTGTCTGGCTGGTCTTTGCTGCCCCTAGGCACGGGCAATTATATCAGCTGCTTGTTGACAAGCAGTACTGTAATAACTCTCCCTCATCTTCCTGTGTTCAGAAAGACACATGCCTGCAGAAAAATTCAGAGTATGCTAAATAAATTTTTAAAGAGTGGCCTAGGTGTTGTGAGAGCAGAAACCTTCCGCTGGCTGTCAGCACCATGACAACTTTTAGGAGAGGTGACAGTTTATAAAGATGGGCACAAAATGGTTAAAAGATCTTCTAGAACTGGTGGGGGCGTCTTGCAAGAGCGCTGTCAAATTATGGTGCTGATAGCTACAGACATCTTCATCTTGTGCAGTTGGGCTGGGGTAGGTGCTCAGCCGCTCTCTTGTCTGGAAAAGAGACAAAAAGTGGAGATGAGCAACCTTGTACTTGGCAGATAGCAACGAGGAGCTGCGTGTCCAACACAGAGCGGATAGAAGATGTGTCCAACCATAGCGCTTTTTCATTGCTCCTGGCTTRCAGCCTGCCCCTGAGACACACAATCAAATGAGAAAAACAACAGAGATGTCAATTGCCCGCAGCTCGACTGAGTTGTTAATGAAATTGCACATGCTAGAACGCGAGCTTGGATGTTCTGTGAAGATTTGCTCAGGGACTCAAATGTTGTGGTCTCACACTCACAGGCATCTGATTAGGTATATATTGCTGGAAGTGTAATTTTGGCTGTGGAGCCTTTGGAACTGATAATAAAGCTTCAGGAGGCAAAATCTAGACTGAAAGAARCCCAAAATAAATTTATGGAGCTGCCAGGAAGGAGTGTTTCTTTATAAACTCAGCAACTGGGGTTTGGAAGTCCTTGAAAAAGAAACATGGAAAGAAATTCTCATCTCAGATGCAATGAACTGTTTCTAATGATACTATGCCACTGTTATTTTGCAGGTGTCTCCTATCTTTCCTTGGTGTGATTATAATAGCAAGAAATAAAAAAGAGGAGCATTTAACAATTCCTTTTATTGACTGTGGACATATTCCTGGTAAGTAGGGCTTTTTTTCTGTCTCTGTTTAAATGGGGTATCAGATAATGGGATGACTTAGGAGAATTGAGTCACAAATGTGCTCTAGTCATATTTAATAAATATACTGTTCCCTTAATTTCTGTTCCTGTTCCCAACAGATTTTTCAAAGAAGTTTTCAAAGTTTTTCCAAGCTATTGTTGCAACCAGTCAAATGAAAACAATGATTACTGGAGCAAAGAATGTTTAAATGATGGATTGGTGGGGAATTTGTTTTATTAAAATTCTTCACAAAGTTGTTGTTTTTTTCTTGTCTCACCACATTTCCTTAGGACAAAAATTGACAGGCAAAATACAACCAGATTCTCACAGTTCATGCTACGGCACACTGAATAAGGAAGATGACTCAGTGAAAAGACAAAGCTGAAAGAAGAAAGCACATTGCATGCCAGTTAACAGGAGGAACACCACTGGAACAAGGATCAGTAGCACCTTTTGTTGAACATATTCAAGTATACATTGAACTCCTGTATGCTGATGCGTCATAGTATTATTTAATCCTAAYTAATTTGTACCAAATGTGTTCTAAAGATGAAGGAAGCCTTAACAAAAACTAAATAACCATTAATKAAATTGAATCTTCTCTTTATATCAATGCCTCTTGAGGATGTTTTTAGAGTCTTAATTGCTTTGAAATGCAATAACCAYGGAACAAGATTATAAAAATTCCTCTTTGGAACCCCTTGGATCTGTGTAAATGTTTAAAGGCAAAGGTGAGAAATGAGAATTTTCGTAAGTGCTTTCAAAATATTATGTGTATACTGCCTTTTAAACCTGTTCCTTCCTGTTCAGGAGTCAAAATTGTCAGCATGTATGCAGTTGACATAAACAGGTACACAGAAAGAATTATGTATTGTATGTAGAGGGAGAATCYTGATTATCTCCTACCATCAGAATAATTCTCTTATCTTCCAAGGAAATAAGCTCCTGTGTGAGGAGTGGGAAGAGAGTGTTTGCCATAAACACAGGGATGTGGGCACACGCACACGTTTAAGGTGCCTGGCCAAGGCAGGACTAGAGTACTATTCTTGACATTTTACATCCTTCCAGAGGTGTCCTGTGCACTGGGCTGGACTGGGCAGGGCTCTATGATCTGTTAGCATAGTCTGAGCTGAGTTTTAGCAAAACTGTTCAGCAAAACTGTTTGCTGTTTCCAGCAAAAGAAGGTTTTAGTGAAGAAAATGCATAGATCTTCAGAGGAAGTGGGGTGGCCATGATCCCTCTCTTGATTTGTCTTGGAAAAATACTCCTTAGAAAGAAAAATGGGGCAATTGCTGTTACCATTGGTAATTCTGCATGAGGAAAGGCTGTCATAAGCMGGACCACGAAGAGTCATGGTAACTGTGCAATTTCCTCTTCATTAAATGGCAGTGTCTCTACACTGATTTGAAGAGCCAGCAGTGATGGGAGCCATGGCAGTACAGGCTTTGTGTTCAGATTTGGGACATCTTGGTGTCCCTCAGTCCCAGAGTCCCATCAAAAAAGCCTCTTCTGGATGTTGATTGTGGGTCCACTTATCCTTACCTGGTATTACTGATCAGGCAGGGCAGTGGGGGTCAGACACATCCTCTGCATAAATGAGTGAAAGTGCTCTTGAAAAATTGTCCTGTTTTAGGATTGAATTAATCTGCAGTAATAGGTAGGGGCCATAGACTCTGGGTATTTTGTTTCAGGTCTCTTTTTTTCCTCAAGTAATTCTTTACTTAATTTAAAATAGGTACAGCTGAAGATCCATAAGACAGTTGCATTTCAAATACTGCAAAGCACACATGGAGCTGCAGTATTTAGTGTGCAGCAATGTCCCCGGAACTATGGCATCTGGGGACTTGTGAAGCTGTTTTTCAATGTGGGTTTTTTCCAGCTGACACAGGACAAGACTCTGTGTCTGCACCTTACTTGTACCAGGTGCCTGGCTTGGCCTTGCTTTCCCACTTTACATCTTGAGTTTGAGTTTCTAAAGCTTAAAATTAAAAAAAAAAATAATAAAGAAAAGCACATTACTTTCACATGCCTTCTCCAGGGAGCAAGGACATGCCTCTATCTTCCTTTTGCAAGTCAAATTTAAGCTGCTTTCAAAGTCCCAAGCTAGAGTATGTGCTAAAGATGGAAATGAGAGAGCTACAGGTTTTCATTCTGTGACCTGGGAAACAAATGGGTGAATGGGTTTGGTTTTGATGCTTTTTTAAATGGTTTGCCTTGAGCATCTTTCTGAAATCAGTTTCCATGGCTCAGAAGAATTGTAGGCAATAATGAAGGTTACTGTGTGTATGATTTTCTCTTTAAAGCAAGAAATCAAATGTAAAAATCTGTGGCAAAAGTTATTATTTATTTTAAATTACAGTATTTCTTCTTGAACAATGCCTTTTTTTTTTCTTGGGGGTTTAATAAAAAATTATGAGGCTTAAAATGTCTTCTTTAAACTCTAGCATATTTTGTGGACCAAAACACTGGTAGAAATTATGTGCAATTAAAAGTTGTGATTTGATGTGATCCTTGAGATGTGAGTATGTTCCAACTAATTAATGTATTACAGGGTCGGAAAAACTCAGTGATGAGCATTCAGTACTGCTCTGCCAAGGAACGGACATGACTTGTTTCAGGAATCAGTTTCTATTCAATGTTATTTTCAGATTCTGCTTGCCATGCTTAGGTTGCAAACACCACAGACAAACGCCTACAAAAAGAAAAGTCTTTGCACTGGAATAAAAAATCGTCTCTGGAGTCTTTCTCTGCAATAAKAAGTTATTTTCTTGCAGGGTTTTCCTGACATCAAAAATGTGGCCCAGATAATAAACTGCAAAACTTGTGCCTGCAGACTGAATTTTCCTGAACAGATYCTCCACGGGATCTGCAGAAATCAAACCAGGAGAAGGTGTGGCAGGCAGGCAATGTCCCACATGGTCCCTCAGGCTCCAGCCTGGGATTTCTGACAGACCAGAACCAGCAGGACTCATTTAGCACTCGTTCCACTGCTGGTCACGCTGCAACGAGAGATGAAGTATTAACTGGCCATGGGCCTGGAAATGGGAGCTCTGGCCTAGAGTGARACTGTTTAATTTTTGCCATAAAATATCAGGATGCGTTTACCAAACAGTTTCAACTGGCAAAAAATAAACAAACTTTGGATTGGATTGTCTGTCTGCCCCTGGGAGGGGCCTGGTGTTCACCTGGCAGGCTGAGTGCCTGCTGCTTGCTCCAGCCCAGCTTTTGGCTGATTCATGTTTTGCATGTGAGGGCACTGGTCACCTAAAACCGAAGGAAAGAGGTTGAAATTTATATGGGTTTGAGTTTCTGTGCTTTGAAGCCRTAGATTCATGCACCCGCCAAGCTGCTTGAATGGATCAGCAATGCCAAAAAGCTCATCCTCCTTGTCCCAGCTGTGAGGTCCAGCAGCTTCCTGTGGCCAGTTCAGCTCACCCATCCTGCAGAAAACAATCTGCATCCTTCTCCTTGCTGGGATGGCTCTGAACTGAGCCAACCAGGCTGCTGGAGTGTACAGTGGGACAGGTGGGAAAATGGAGTGAGACCTCTCATATTATTTCTCTCCTGAGGTGAGCCTCTAAACAGCAAACATTTTGCTAAAACCAATTTTCTTATATGGCCATGCCCCAAATGCAGCTGAGAGCTTCTTGGAGCACTTCTAAAGTGCCAGGCTCACTGGCTTGTGTATTCTGAGTGATGAGTGGCCTCAGCTGGACTGGGAAAGGTAGCTTGTGGCAACCAGCAGCATCCCAAAGTCAACTAAAAGCCCAGACACATGTCTGATTACAAATAATTCTAAGGATAATTTCTTTTTTGTGACTGTTTCCTATAAGGTGTATAAATTGCTGGAAGAATGGACTAAAAAGTCTTCTATACTCAAAATGTTGTCACCTTTGCAATCTTTCCTTCCAACCCTCTTCATGCGGTATCAACGGTTGCTTGCAGAGAAAAATGTTCCCTTTTGTAACAGTGGTGTGCAGATGATTAGACTGAGCTGTCTGTCAGTATRCCCTTTTGTTACTGTCCTCTGAGGCTTGACATTTTTCTTGGTCAAATTTGTTTGTTCATTCCTTCTGCAGAAATCAGCTGGACTGTGTTAGCAGCTAGCTGAAAGGAGATAGAGGCTAAGTACCATAATTATTATTGGAGAACCGAGCTGGAAGATTTACAAACCAAGGCCACTTCAGGAGCAAAAGATAGAGCAATGTTTAGTGCTCTCAGTTCTCARGAGTTTGAGAAATCCTGTGTTTGCAAGGTTTTTGGGTTCTGGGATAGTCAGGGACATCAGTGAATAAATAGTGGTTTCATATAATTCTGTTGTGGTTTTAGTTTGTGGTTTGTTTTTTTTTTTATTTCCCACCGATTTGGGAGTGAAGGATGACTGTTCTCTGCCTAGAAAAGCAGAGAGGAAATACGACATTCCCTTGGCAAGRTGGGAGATGTTTCAACCTTTTGAAGCTGGGAAATTTGTAGAGGCACCTCCYAAGCACCTGGCTGATGTAACCCTTGAGTTGTAACATAAAAGGAGGCAGCCCTGGCAAATACATTTCCACAGATAAAGCACTCCTGACCATGTAGAAAGGATCTTTGTCCTCTTGCCATGTGTTAAATCTGCTCAGAGCACATGTAGCTGATCTGGCCCCTGAGGCTGCACATAAATGTATTTTTGAAACATGCCAAATGGGATGCCTTGAGCATCATGTCAGTGCCTCTTCCACGCAGAGCTCTTGCTGGGTCTTCCCTATAGGGAAATTAGGCTGTGTGATAGCTACACAGCACAGGATTACTCTGATGAGAAGATACAGTTCTGCCAGGATATTCCCATGACCTGGGAACTGTTTATAGACTGTGCCCTACAAGGAAGTTGTGTAAACCTGCAGTCTTGAATTACATTCCCTTTACTTTCTGATTYCCTCTAGAGTAAGCATGGACAGTTYTGGGTATCCACAGAAGCAGAATTATTAGCACCTCAAGWATCTCCAGGCCTAAATAAAGGGTTAGGTGGCTGCTGAGTAGTTTTATTTAATCTAAATCCCAGATTGCAGTTAGGCCCCTAAAGCTTGTCCAAGACTTTCAAAGAGCGTTTCATAGTGCAAGTTTCCATCAGTATTTTGGTTACTAATGGATGCAGGCATCAGTCCCAGGGGAATTTGTGTCAGTTCACAGGGTAGCAATGAGAGGGATGCTGTTGRGCAGCAAACTCAGAAATGTGTCGTGGTGGCAGGAGAGTTTTGCATGAACACAGAGAAATTACTCCAGGGGACCACTAATCTACAGTGGTCTCCTGGGCTCCTTTTTGACAGTGTCAACAAGGCACTTGTTGACAGTTTTCAAACTACAGCTACTGTAAAGGAATGATTAAACAGGTGGTGCTAATACTGACTG